ATTGAACAAGTCGATTTGATGACATCAAGAATTTGATCTAATTTTCCTTTAAAAATATTACAAATCAGTCAAAAGCATAAACTTCAACTTAATTAACAGTTTCACGCGATTAAGCGATCCTTAGATGGTTTAGAAAGAACGCTTCATCGTATGTATTTAAGCTCTGTGCTAGGTTGTTATTCCACTAAAATTGATATAAAACTCCATACATACCAATATTATGTTTATTTTTAGCTGTGAACAAGTAGAAAAGGTATTTAATCCATTTATACAAGCGTTAAAAAAGCTGGGCATTAATGATTATATTGTGTCAGTTGCTAAGTTAGCTTCTGGGAAGGTTGGTTCACTTTGTCGTGCTAGACAACTTTTCCCGCCAGAATATATCTGCTAAGCTCTGTATTCTGTATCCACAAACGATTATACAGTCAAGATGTCCGTAAGAGAAGGACAATTTTTGTCTGTCACGCAGGAGAATGGACTTAGATTTTGTTATCAGGAAGACGTAGTTCAATGTCAGATATTTAATTCCCATGCGTTTATGTAAAATATATAGATAAAGCGCAGCCTAACTGCTCATTATAACAAATGTTGATGGCCGAACTTTTTGGCGAATCAAGATAATGATGCCAAGAAAAAAATTATTGCTCACATAGTGTACTGTAAGGAACGATCTATTCTTTAAATTCGAAGTAAACGCTTTCTGTTGAATTTTCGGTAATCAACGTCATGACAAATGAATTTAACTAAAATAGCCATTTCGCTTACTGAATTTGTCTAGAGCAGACATAGACAGAGAAGAAACAATTTCATGCAGGTAAAAATACGCCATTTAACTAGGAACAGCAACATTTTCCACTCGGATTGAGGAATCAGAGAGCCGCGTTCGAATTCAAGTCGAATCCATTACATTCACTTACGTGCTAAAACCCTTTGGAAAGGTATGAATCTTCGTTTTCTCCCCCCAACTATGGGTAAATAGTAGGACAGACCAGGTTCTATAGCCTTGGATCGCAGTTGGGTCTACCGTAGAAAGAAATGGCAACCTACTGAGGGAAAATATACCTCGTCAGTCATGTATCGAAAGATACATGATCGCTTAAGCGTGTATCACGTATGGCACATAACTGAGTGACACTAAATACAATGGTCATGACGTGAGCCATTATGATCCAACTTTGAGGAATTCTCTACAAATATGGCCTTGTTTTGAAGTGAAATTTCTCATAAACTGCCTACAATAATATTTGGATTATTTGGTAGAAGTTACTTTATTTGTAGTTATCAAATCAGGTATGCTTAACAGCGATATAGTTAAGAGTGAATATCCCCTCTCCAAATCGAAACACATCATGCATATATATTTATACTTACATGTACACACACAAAAAAACAACATGCACACACAGATAGTAGCAGTATTATTATTATTATTATTATTAGTAGTACTACTACTACTAATATAACGTAAAAATTACGAGAATTTAATGTATTTCTAGACCATTAGAACTTCTGCCAAAAAGTGCTCAGTAGCTAACCAGATCTATAATATCCAATAAATCAATAAATATCCAATAGTCTTATCTCATTTGACCGACTCTAGAGTTTCACGTCAAAACAAAACAATAACAATTTAATTGGAGGCGTGGTGGTGTAATGGGTACGGTTCAGAATGAGAAATCGAAGATCCGATTTCGAATTCCAGTCAATTTCGTGACATTCACTTACTGAAAGATGTGAATCCATCTCTTCGCTTATGGTTTAATAGCAGGACAAACTGCGCCGTATTGTTTTATTTGGCAACAAGTCTAAGAAAACGAAAATACTGAATTCACACCAGCCTGGATAGGGTTGGGCTCCGTTAGGCTATCTTATCTAAGATACATTCTTCTGCCACGGATGCAGTACATGCGGTGCCCCTATGACCGAAATGGTTCGTGATCACGATTCTTTCAGGACGTAGGCGATCGTAGCTCTCTACAGAATCCTTTTTTATTTATTATCTGTGAATTGCTGTGACTTCCTGGGAAAGATAGGGGAGTGGTTTCTCGTTGCCTTCTCCACGGTTATGAATTCAGAGTTTCTCTTCTCTTAGGCTGATTTCAACCCAAGCTTAGAATGCCCATGTATCCTGCTATTTAGCTCTATTTAGCCAAAATCATCATAATGAAAAATAAAGAAGGGATTATTCATGTGTGAAAGTGAACGCAACAGTCTAGGTACGAATTTGAACTCGCTGATTCCACTATTTGGGCCGATAACGGTTGCGCTAACCTGCAGATCCCTACATCTATTACTAGATGTAAAAATAAAACCAAACAATATGACGTGGAGGAAATAAGGAAAGGAAAAATGTAGATATGACTGAATTTCTGACTGGTTTTCAATTAGTATGTTTTTTTTTCTTATCATGATATACTGTGTCTATAAACACTAATGGGTATATCCCAATCCTCATAAATACATTGGACACTATTGTAAGTAGGGTTTAATATGCTATCTAAGTAGTCGACCACTAGCAGTGGTTTACCTATTTCACGCTGCTGGCGAGTATTGTATTTTGTTGATGTTATAAAGATTACCATTTCATTTCCAACCTCCGTTTTGTTTATTCCTCATTCAGTAACACTTCCTAGGCTACAACATTATTCTACGACAATTAAGTAACATGGATTAGAATATAAGGCAGTAGCTCCCAATGAGATTTGAACTCGATCCCGTATTTTTAGGTATCCATTTGAATTGAACAGTGTGCTTCACAGATGAGTTCACGGAGACAACATCAGAAGTCAAAAAGTAAAATTAATCATTTAGATACATTATATGTACAAAGAATATTATTGTCTGTTCTTCGTTTATATAATCTACATCAAATCAATACTGCACCTACTGCAACTAAAGTTGGGTCATTGTGTTGCACCATAAAACTTTTCCCGAGTCCATCTTGCACATTTACAAATCTAGCAGATATGGTCTGGTGCTCATCTTGAGGTACTTGACAAAACCTAAAGAAGGATCTGTAATGTAATCGATCCTGACTTGGCATCTCGACTTCTGTCATTTCTCACTTTCCTTTTTTTGCTACAAATATTTTTATCGCAACTGCACTGATGCAACTGTTCTTCCTTAGTGCCCCGACTACCCACCCTTTTACTGTTATAACGCTAAATAAATGTTATATTAGCTAAATACAGCCGCCACTTCTACACCAACAGTTTCTTTTATCGCTCTTCCCACCGTTTACTTGCTTCCCTGATAACTACAATCCCCCAAAATGTAAATGCAATGTCAATCGCGATCTTCTATCTTCTTGAAGCCCGTTCATCTTTTATCTTTTCCTTGATCCTCCCTATACTCAGTCTTTCCTCTGACTTTCATTCTCTGTAGCCCCCCCCTACTGCGTACTAGTGACATTCCCGCCTTGCTTGGGGTGAAATAATTAAAAAAAAAAGTAAAAGAAAATGTAAACGAGATTCTCTTTTGAGATATAATAAACTCGTAGAGTTGAAATGAATCGAAATTGGTTAGTTTTGAATCTTGAAAGACACATTAGCTGGCGTGAAGATAAAAGGATGAAAAGAGAATGAAAAGAGAAAAAAAGAAAAAAAAAACGTAAAAGAATAAGAGCAAAGAAAGACGAATAAAAGATGGCAGAGAAGAGAAAATAATAAAAAAAAAGTTGAGGCAAATAAAGAGTGAAACTGGGAGAAGAAAACAAAGTGTGAAGTAAGGACGTAAAAACACTAGAAAGGAAGAAGAAAACAAAGCGTAGAAAGAAAAGAGGAGTGAGAAACAAAGAATAAATAAAAGGAAGAGAAAAGACGAGAAGAAAAAGAAAGTAGGTCCGAGCTTTGTTATCGTGTACCGTCAATATCTGAAGTAGAAAGGGATCAACAAAAGCATTTTAAGTAGAATAGAACACTAGCTATTTGCAGCTCAGGTGAGCAAGCTGTTTTTCAGCCAACAAACCTAATATAGATCACAAGATAGGCTTGGCTATAGACATATAATCTATTAGCTAGGCATTAATTGTTGCTTAGTTCTCAGCTGCATCATTGGACGGTGTTCGAATACAAGTAAAGATCAGGATACGGAGTTCCGATTGAGAGCGACACTTTTTAATCGAAAGATCGGCGCAACACAATCATTGTAAACATATCTAAACATGAGTCAGACCAAGTCTTTTAAATATATGTATTAAGTTTAGACATAAATAATTCCCGTTTTTGGAATCAATTGTAATTGTAATGACGAATGCATCATCCTAACTAATTATCATAAGTGGTAGTTAATAAATTTGGAGTACACTAACATACCTTAGATTTAGCAAAGCAGTGGCAGCGTACACAGTGGATTAAAGAAAAATGTTTTTATCATCCATAACAACGCGCATCTATGACAAAATCCAGTGGACAATATTCCAGCCTCTTATCCCTAAAGTGGACAAACAAAATCCCGGTCTCATAAAAGATTAATTAATAAGATTCGGTGTAAAGGCGATTCGCCTGTTATCATGTTAATATAAACTTTGTTGTCATGCATTTGTTTCAAGTTATCATTCATAAATATGTATACATAAACAGAGGATAGCACACTTTACATGGTATAATGGCTAGCAAGCTTGTCTCGCTAGATCAGTTATGATTGAATAGTGAGTTCGATCCTCACTAGATGCCTATATTTTAACCCTTGTGACACTTCTAAGTTTTCACCATGAAATAAGTATAAATTTGTGGGCAGGAAATAAGAGTATGTACTCGATATTGTGATTATTGTCTCAATTTAACATGGGAGTGCATATATTGGACATTTTACAAATAAGTTTATATAGTGGTTATTTTTGTTTTATTTTGACATTGGATTGCATGTATTGGACGTCGTACAAATACGTTTATATAATGGACATTATTATCTAAATTTGACAGTGGAGTGCATATATTGGAGATTGTACAAATAAGTTTATAGATTGGATATTATTGTCTCAATTTGACATTGGAATGAATATGTTGGACATTGTACAAATAGGTTTATATAGTGGATAGTATTGTCACAATTTGACATTAAAATTTGAATTGAAAATTCTTTGAATTTTAATGTTAAATTTATTTCTTTTTATATATGACACTTTTACTCATGAGACTGGAAAACCATGTACATAAATGCTACAAACACGTTGGTTTTGTATGACGAGTTTATGATAGTGTTTTACCTTTGCTTATTATATTTTATATAGAAGTCAAAGGGAAAATATGTATTTTTTATTAAAATGAACGACATTTAAATAAATATTTCAGCCTTTGTGGAATTAGAATTTATTCAGTGCTCTTATCCATACTGTTGAATTAAATCACGCAATTTTAATGGTAATCATAATATTAGCCGTTTCCTTATAAAGAAACATTCTTATAAAGAAACATTCTTATAAAGAAACGTTTGGCATTCAATACTGCTGTTGATAGAAATATATAAAATCTTTTTCTTATATCAATCTTTCAGGAAAATAGGTTTCTCAAGTCCAGTAGCTGTTATAACACTTTCCAGTATCCTTTGTTTTTTAAGTAGTGTGGAATGTCAGCATCTTGATTATGTCATTATTTTCCCCTCGAGTTACATGTGCTATCCATTTTAGTTGTTGCTACTACTGAAAGTCATCAAGAGATATGGTTTCTGTTATTTGGTACAAGTTCTTTGCTCCGATACTGTAGCGCTAGTTCACGAGTTTCGAGAAAGGATTGTCCTCTGTAAGGCCTGCACGCTTCGCTTTGCTTCACTCACTCGAAGCCATTTTTATTCATTGACCAAGAAAGCGGTTGTATACATCTGACAGTTTAGATATTTCTGAACGTAGCTGGCGGCATGTATGGCACCCATATGAAAGTCTTGATCTGAAGAGACTAATGGAAAGAAAGGATTTCTGGTATTAACCTTTGATTATTATTTATATAGTAAATGTAAATACATTTGAAATTATAAAAAAAACAACAAAAAACAACAGTTGAGGCATTTTCAATAATCTATCTATCTATCTATCTATCTATCTATCTATCTATCTATCTATCTATCCCAGTCTGTTCCGATCTATCTATCTATCTATCTATCTATCTATCTATCCCAGTCTGTTCCGATCTATCTATCTATCTATCTATCTATCTATCTATCTATCTGATCCTGTCGTTATTATCTTGAATTATCAATGGGTTTTGTGAGTTTTACGCATGATCTATACAATGTATTGTTATGAGAAAACGCGGTCCATAGATCTAGAAATGATACGTGAATGGTATCCATCAATATTTCAAAGAAGAGGATAAATTCACATTGGAACATATAAAACTCTTCAATACAACATCGATTTTAATATCTTTGAAATAATGTGACTAGATCCAGATTTAACCGATTAAATTCATATCGATACGTCCTTGATCTTCAATATTATCTTCAAAAATATGTTTTCCCTCCAAAACAGACACAACGGTGCATCCAAAAATACATATAGTTAATATATAATTACTTTGTACATTTTTTTCAGTTCTATAGATATTATTGTGAGCAAAGATATTAAAGAACAACAGTTACAACTCGTGTAAACTGTTTAGATTTTATTAGTTCTGTATCCAAAATCCCATTGGCCAATCAGCTTGTGCCCTGGGCACATTTAACCAGTGTTTTTTTTTTTTTATGAAAGTGTCCAAATACAAGGACCTGGAGATCATGATTAACAGGATGTAGGCAATGAAGACTCAGACTGTACCAATAGTAATCGGAGCTCTGGACCTAATGAGAAAAGGAATGAAAAATTTTACTAACAGTGTCCCAGGTAATATCAACATACAAGTTGCCCGGAAAATCGCCCTACTAGGAACATCCCATATACTAAGATAAGTGCTAGAAATTAAATGACAATTCTCCTATATGTTCTAAGGACCATAGTCTAGACCCGGCTCTAAAGGATACAAAGCAGACAACATGAAATAATAATAATAATAATAATAATAATAATAAAACAAATACAAGACAAAAAGAAAATTTTGAAAATAATAATAATAACAACAACAACAGCAACAGACACAGAACTAATTGAACTATAGAACTAGTTCCTGTAGTAATTGGCTCGGTTGGAACACAACCTAGAAAATTGAAAAAGCGCTTAAAAAGATTTTGAATTGAAACAAACGTTGTAGATTTCCAGAAAACTGACATTATTTACTCTGCGGGGATTCCCCAAAATGTTCTTGAGTTGTGAGGAGTCTTGTTGACATCATGCATCAAGAATTTCCATTATCTACGTCAATGTGCGACACCATAATAATAAATATTGTACTTTTATGGTTTAAACACACTATTCACTTTATCTAATTTAATATTCTTATTAGTGACATACTTTTATAAGCATTTTCAGTATAATCATTTTCTGTTCCCTCTCACCTTTCTCTTTCTCTGTGTATAGATGTTTGTAATATATTGTTATTCAAATATACTTTATTAACCTCATAACCGTTTGCCTCGAGAATCTGAAATTGAATAAATCTAAGTATTATTAATAATGAAAGCGCTTTTATTATATTAATATCTCTTAGAATTTTAGATTTGATTTTAAATTAAATTGACAAATCAGATGAATTTTGTTGGTTTGGAAAAAGAAGATGCAATAAGATTGTCGACACGTTCATTGTTTTTAGGATTGATTCTGAAACAATGAATAAATTATAGCGCGAACATGACTCGGGACTCTTGTTAAAACGCTCTTTACAACTACATTTTTCCCGCCTTCATGGCTTTCTTTCTTAAAAAGAGAGACTATTCTTATTTCGTCTGTCTTTATCATTTTCGCTAGCAAAAAACTACAGACGTCTGATACAAATCTTACAACTGTTCTTTTATGTTTCTTCTGCTGTAAGCCATTTTTTGCTGGTTCTTATTTGTATTTTCGTTTCTTTCTACTTGTAGAGCATTTTTATTCTTACTGTTTGGTTTCCATTACAAGTCCTCTTCTCACTCACGAAGCTCATCAGAAGGAAAATATCCTAGCATCTATCTATTAAGTAAATTATTAATACTCACATTTTCTAATAAATCCTGCGAATATATACACTTACTTCTTCTAACAAGCTGCCGGCAGAAAAATCCCGTGAAAATTAAATTGTCTCGTCAAATCCAATCCGAATTCAACAAGATATAAATTTTATTTTAAGACTTATTTTAATTCACTTGTTACTGTTTTGTTCTTTAATTTAGGAGGTAGGAAGATGCGTCAGTTTAAAAGCAAATAGGTTTTTCATATTTGTTGCATTATTGGCTTGTACGCGAGGAAGAAATCTTAATTTTAACAAATGAATAACTGCGTTGTCTACAGAACGAGTTTACTGCGAGTGAGTGGGTAGCAAGCCGTGAGAAGTTTGCTGACTGATGAAGATTTTAGTTACATCTAGATCCGGAAAGCTTTTTAACAGGGACCGGGAAGTACAGCATTGAAATCAGAAAGCGCATTGGAATAGCGACATTCCTTTCAAAAGCTAAGCAAAGTATCAAGAAAGAGATTCGTTAGAATCAAAGAATATATTCAGTCCTCGTATATGGCAATGAATACTGGACAATCTCCAGAGACAGTTGAAATTTCTAGGGCACGTAATAAAGAAAGAGGGCTTGGAAAATTTGATACTCACAGGACAGATTGAAGGTAAGAGAGACATAGGATAACAACGCATCATCAACTTGGCGGGCGTGAGTGAATGGATAGAGGATTTCAGTTTGGGAGAGATAGCAAAAAGACAAAAAAATTAGAAGCATGGTAATGACGATAGTTAAGATCCTCATTTCGTATAAATATACATAAATATGCTCCGTGCATATAAAAGGACTTAAATTCGTATAATGATATTTATTATCTCCGGCGCACGTCAGAACAGTATGTAACCCAGTTCCTGAAAGAGTCTATCTCGAATTCTGCGTTTTACAATTTTCAGGTTGTCAGCAATAAAAGAATGCTTGGTATGAATTTTAACCAAGCCTTTAAACACAAACAAACTAAACGATAGAGTTAATATGAATATATGTATGGGCTTTTACTGATTATCAAGCGCGTACACACGCATATACGACGTCTGATCAAAAAGTATCGGAGCTGTTGCTATGATAATGGAGCTAAATTATGCAAAGTGAAGACGCTTGGCACATATAGATATTGAACCCTGTTATGCATATACATTGTTATAACGTTCTCACTCACTTCTGTTGTTTATAGAAGTGCTTTCAGGAAAAGTGTGTAGGGTGTGGTCGTTAAACAACATCATAGAGGTTACATCAATAACCATGGCTTGTGCAACAGTTTTTGGCCAAAGACAATATTCTCTAGGTCCAACAACCACCATATTCCCCAGATATCACTCCTTGCGACTTTTTTCTCTTTCTAAAAATCGAATCTCACTTTAAAGGAACAAGATTTCAAGACATCGAGGAAATCCAAGAGAATGTAACGAGGCAGCTGCTTGCCATCCCACAAAAGGAGTTCCAGGAATGTTTCTATTAATGGAAACGACGCTGGATAAAGTGTGTGGTTTCAGAAAGGGTCTATTTCGAAGGATATTAAATGTTGAATTGATACGCATTGTAGTTTAATTTTATAACTACTGTCCCGATAATTTTTGATCAGTCCTTGTAAATGCATATATTTGGTCAGGTCAAAAGTGTGTAGCGTTTTTCAATGGGAGGTGTTTGAGCGCATGATTCCGTTTCCCTGAAACGTTTGAAATTCATGACATTTATGTTGGTCACACCACAAACCCTCTTTCACGATACTTGACACTACATTTGAATGATAACTCTAACATTTTTAGGCATTTAAAATAACATGCCTGACCACTTACACTATTCCGGAAAATCCTCGTTGAAAACACAATTATACTTAAACATGAAAACTAAACAAAAACTAAAAATTCTTGAAGCTATATGCATAAAACAGTTGAAACCTAACCTAAACAAAATAAACTATGAAATCTCCACAAACATTCTTAAATGCCTATAATTTATAACAGAAGCCATTGGTTTATACCAACGGCTTCACATACTTAATACTTCTCGTTTTCACTCTCGCGTGGTCATGTGTGACGTCATGTGATTTTCGCTTCCAGCATCTTGTATTCACGAGTTTGTCGTTGCTTGGAAATCTTCCATGTAAACATAAACAGACTATCATCATTGTTTTGTCCGTGTATTGGTTAATATATTGTAATGTAATTGTCATCTTTGATAATGGCTTATAGAAGCCGAACGCTTAGATAGGATTAAAAAGTATGTATCAATATTGTGATTTTCTTTCTTCTTTTAATGATAATGTTATGAAGCTTATTAGACGATATGAAAAGAATTTTCAAAACTTGTCTATATTATTTAATGAAACATGCATCAATTCATGACATATTTACATATTCTGAAAAGTGACATCTTAATGCACCTTTCAATACCATTCGCGGGTGGATTGCGAATGTTATTTGTTTTTTCGTTGAAAGTGAAAAAAAAACGCTGGAAAACGGGAAAAAAAAAGAACTGTGCAATTGATAGAGATAGTGACAAGGCCAAGCGTTCAGAATGGATATTTTGATCTGGAAGGTCGAAAACGTTCTGACAGGCCAGTAGTAGTTAATTATCTAAACGTTATTAAAATTCATTCAGGTCACAGAACACGGGACATCGCAGAGAAAATCTACATATTTCATATAACCATTATTTCAAAGTACTTGAATACGTGTATCGCTATGATGTTTGAGTGCTTCGTGATAGAACGGAAAAATAAATGGATGGACTGCATTTCCGTTTTTGATTCTCTACTCAAATGTAACAAAAACCATACGGACGATGGAAAATGGATAGTTTATAACAGTATGCTGCGAAGAACATCACGGTAATTGTTATTACTTAATGTTATCACAATGAATATCTTATCCTTAGTTCATACCTGCCTCTTCAGTGCCCACAGGTATCACTTTTCTTTATTGTGTGACATACACCACGGACCACGCTAATAGCTTGGTAGTGAAATTTAGTATTTCTCGGTTTTCTGTGAATTGATTTTGATAAAACTTTTCACGGCTGGTTTGCACAATATAGTAATATCATTGTTAGGTTTTCATTATTCTGTGTAACGTCCTTTATTTTTTTTTTATTTCAGATTCGACAGTTTTTTTATGGGGTGGGTGAGAACCACACTAATAGCTTTTGAATGAAAATAGTCCATCTAGACATCTTTTGCAAAAAATGAAGGATAATGATACATATTAAGAAAGAGTATGATAATGATACATATTAAGCATTGAGTATATATTTAACAGAAACCCATAATAATCTTATAAGATTTATTGAATTATTTTACAACATGAGCGCCATTAGGATGGATAACTTTACAAACCCTATTAGTCATGGAATCTGTCAATATTTGTATAGTAGCCGATTGGCCTACCTTTGTTGCAGCTTTGATAGTTGCCCATAATATATCTTTCAATGTAAATTGATATCAATCGGCATAAACATCTTAATAATGGACAAAAAATTTCGATAGGGTTGAGATTCGGTGAGACTAGCGGCCACATCATCGACCCATAACCTTGTATACCGTAAGATTCTAGGAATGCTTGTGTGGCCCTGGCAGAGTGGGAAGGAGAATTGTTATGCATGAATACTAGAGTCCTTAGTCCTTCATCTAGCCAGAGATTCAAGACATCCTTCAGGAGATTACTACTGTACTGATGCGGCATTCACCCTGGGCGGATTGAGCCGGCTTCTTCCTGTTATGAGAAGAAGATTCTTGGGATAAATTACAGAAGTAGGGTACCCAGGCCTACTCGGATAACGTTCTTGCTTGCCGCGGGATTCCCACAGACGCAGAGACAGGAACGACCAGAAGCCGCCGGTTACCGATGCAGACGCTCCTTGGATTTTCACCAGAGCCCTTGTTAGCCGGCGTGTGTGTCAGACCTGTCCGCCTTGAGTGGCCCTACCAGGAACGAAGTTCCGGGCGGCATAGCTCTGACACTACCGTTTACACCCCCCCACCGACTGTGAGGTAAGGGTTGGACTTTGGGGGCTTACAGTACCAGGTGTTCCCCAGCGGTCCCCCATCTAAGTACTGACCTGTCTCTACGATGCTTAACTTCGGTGATCGAACGAGAACCGGTGTTTCAGCGTGATTTGACCGTAAGCCTTCAGGAGATTGCAGTAGGCGGCGGTTACTTTAACCCCTTCAGGCATCCTGACTAGGCCAAAAGATCGGTCCCCAATAATACCAGCCCACAACATGTCTTTTCTACGCTGTTATTGACGTCGTAAACGTTGGTGGCGTTCATCTCCGAAACAGACCCAACCATTTGCCCAACTATCAGTTCTATCAAGGATTTCCCTGGTCTCGTCAGTGAACAGAACATATGTTCAACGTCATATACTTTCGAGCCCATTAAAGCCTCAAATTCCTGTGACGGGTCATTAAATGAAGCAGTTTTAGGGGAGCTCGTACAGAAGCCATGGTCCCGAGGATGCCATTTCTGATGGTTTTCGGTACACGAGGAAGTCCAGCAGCGGTGAAAATAGCTTTGCTTGTCTGTCCAGGTTTCCCACGTAACTTGCCACTAATATTCCTTAAATCCATAGCTGTCACAGTCTTGAAGGTCCTACAATCGGATCATTTCTTTCCTTGGCGAAGGGTCCCTCAGGAATCGTCTAATTGTATCCACATAACGACCTAACTTCCCCTCAATGACATGATTATGACAACCTTTTCTTTATCGATGATGCTTTTTCTACGTCCCATTGTTCTTATAGATGAGAGACGCTATTAGCGTGGTTTACCCATAAACTTTCGAATCTGAAATAAAAAATAAAGGACGTTACACGGAATAATTAAAACCTAATAATGGTGTTGTGATATTGTGCAAACCAGGTGGGGAAGATTTTATCAAAATCAATTCACAGAAAACTGAGAAATCCTAGATGTCACTACCAAGCGATAAGCGTTGTTCGGGGTGTACATATAATTTTCAGGACGTAGGCGATTATGGCTGTCCACAATTTCCTGTCTTTTGTAGCTCGTAATGAATTTTCTTTTTGTTATTTCTCATAAACTTTGTTCCGACATCCATTTACTCAGGCTCGGTAAGTAGGTTATGCAAGGTTTTCTTCTATCCCTCTTGCCTGTCCTATGTGTATCAGAGTTTCCATGCTCTCTTTCCTCATCATGTGTCCTATAAAATTAAACTTTCTCTTCCTGATGCTAAGCATAATTTTATTTTTTCTTTTCATTTTCTCTAAAACTTCGTCGTTGCTCATATGTTTGGTCGATGGTATCCTCAGCATCGTTCTGTAGAACCACATTTTTGTTGCTTCAAGTCTCCTATGAGAAGGTTATCCAGAATATCGTAAGAAGGGCTGAAAATAGAGAGAATTGTTATTCCATCAAAGTTCAATATTCGTTTCTTTGTTTTTAACGATATTTTTCAATTTTTTTAATATTTGAAGTAAGTATTAGATTTATTTATTTTATTTTCTTCCAACCTGCGATTTGTTTTATGTTTTCATTGTTTTTGTGCGAAATTTAATGAAAAAAAATATAATTTAGAAAACCTGGTTCTGTTACTTGGAAGTAAATTTAACGTTTTTCACTTAAGGTTAATATTGTTAGCTATCAAATTTTTATTCATAAAAGCAGATTCACTAAAGATCATCTTTATTTTTGCGGAATCTGTATTTCTGTTTCTAATAAATGGAAAAAAATTGCATTTTTACCACACTTCCTATACCGAAATGATCCATTTTAGTTTTAGTTGTTTTAAAGAAATAATTTATTAATACGATTTTTTCTCCTCTTTCTAATTATAAATGTTACAAAGTCCTGAGAAAGTTAATTTTAATTTATGTTTAATTTTTAATTTTTTTCTTCCAAAGACTTTTTTCATTGGTTCTGTTTATATACAGCGAAATTGATTTAAAAATGCTATTATTTTTTGCATAAAGTTAATTTAATATTTTTCTCTATGATATAGTTATAACAAAAATATTCTGTCCTGTGAGTATCAGATTTTCCTAGCCCTCTTTCCTCAATGTGTGTCCTATAAATTTCAACTGTATCTTCCTGTATAAGTATAATTTTCCTTTTTTGCTTCCATTTTCTATAGAATTTCGTCGTTGCTCACATGTACGGTCAAAGGTATTCTCAGCTTCTGTAGAACCACATTTCTGTTGCTTCAAGTCTCTTCTTCATCTTTGAGGAGATTTTAAAAGTATTTATAAAAGTTTAGAGACTGAAGAATAATGAAAAAATAATTGGTATATAATTAATTGGGCCCATTTTTAAATGGTCCAGAAGTAATGAAAGATATACAGGGTACAACAGAAATACCTCCCACATAATAGACATTAGTGGCAATGTTGTCTTCATCTAGCTAATTTCTTACCATTATGCCCGAGGTATATGTGGGAGGTATTTCTGTCGCACCCGAAAGCTAATGTCTTACCATTATGTTGAAGGCGTTTCTGGGAATTTTATGTGGGAGGTGTTTCTGTTGCACCTTGTAGCTAATGTCTTACCATTATATGGAAGGCGTTTCTGGGAGGTATATGTGGGTGGTATTTCTGTCGCATCCTATAGCTAATGTCTTACCGTGTATAATGATTTTTTTTTTGCATAGATACCCAATATAAATTTTGATAAACTTTGCTTTTTGCATATTTGAACTATTAAATGTCCAAGATTATATACGAGGAGTGGGGATAAAATGTTTTCGGTTCAACCAAAGATAGCTTACAAAATAATTCTGATGTTTTGTTTGATTTTGGGAAGTGGGAACTTTTCATCAACTTCTCATATGAACTTCATATGAAAAACAAAAACAAAACAAAACAAAAAAACAAACAAACAATTGTTTGATTTTTTAAAGGTAATTTCGCCTCAAGCAAGGCGATAATGCCACTGAGACGCAAGGGGTTACTTGGAGTGAAGGAGAATGAGAAAACTTTACTTAGGAGAGACGACAATAAAAGAACAAGATTCACGAAGATAGAACATTGCGATTGACGTCGCATTTAATTTATGAAAATTGTAGGTGGCAGAGAAGCAAGGAACCAGAAGACAGTTCAACAAGTGAGATAAAAAAATGCGAGAAAAAAAAACTATTAGAATATAAATTACAGCTAAATCTATCTATTCCAGAAGTAAAACGATGAAATCTAGTTGCCAATTTAGTTGTACACTTAAATTCATGTGGACGGGGTACCAAGAATGAGACCTCCTTGGTACCTATATTTATAAAAAGACAGAGGGAAGTAACGTCACAGCTGTGGGAAAGTGACTGAAGTCGAGATGTTAGGTCCGTACGGATAACATTACATACCTTTCCGTGGATTTTAGATGTATATTTAGAATATCTAGATTAACAACCGGAGCAGCAAAGCAGACATGACAGCAATATTCAATGGACGACAGTAGATTTATAAATGTGAAAGATCGATTCTGACGAGAAAAAAACTTCTGGCACATCACAGTTAAACAACATTCCGATCAGCAGGCCTAGCAATGGATTCAATATAATCACTCAGCTTCAGATAAGTAAAAAACATGAAACCAAGAAGGCGCAATGAGTTGTTCTCCTCGAGGTTAGCCTCAGCCATGCTGATGGAAGGCAAAAAGGGTTCTCTTTGAGGATTAAAAGATAAAATACGTTTTGGAGGCGATAAAATTTACAAGCCATTTTTTTGCTCCAGCTAAAAACTGATTGAATGTCATTTTCGAGAGCTGCTGCCAGTTTTATGTTGTCGGGCCTATCGGACTAACTATGACGAATAAATAGTTGTCATTCTGATGAGTATATTCTAACAATATTCCCTCAATAATTTGTGGAATAAGGAGTACTCTGTTTAAAAATTTTAGGAAGTATATGATAACAAGTTTTACTCGCTTAGAAAGAAGAATTCTGACCAGTTTTATCAGCTGCTCTCAGTCAAATGAAGCAAATTGAATAAACTGAAACTTTCGTTCAGATTTTCGACACAGAATCGCACGTAAGTGTTAAATTGAATTTGAGATACGGTAAAGTTCTTTCTTTTGATTTCTGTTTATTCTTTCTTTCTTTCTTTCTTTCTTTCTTTTGATTTCTGTTTATTCTTTCTTTCTTTCTTTCTTTCTTTCTTTCTTTTGATTTCTGTTTATTCTTTCTTTCTTTCTTTCTTTCTTTCTTTCTTTCTGTTTATTCTTTCTTTCTTTCTTTCTTTTGATTTCTTTTTATTCTTTCTTTCTTTCTTTCTTTTGATTTCTGTTTATTCTTTCTTTCTTTCTTTCTTTTGATTTCTGTTTATTCTTTCTTTCTTTCTTTCTTTCTTTCTTTTGATTTCTGTTTATTCTTTCTTTCTTTCTTTCTTTCTTTTGATTTCTGTTTATTCTTTCTTTCTTTCTTTCTTTCTTTCTTTTGATTTCTTTTTTTCTTTCTTTTTTTTCTCTCTTTCTTTTGATTTCTTTTTTCTTTCTTTCTTTCTTTCTTTCTTTTGATTTCTGTTTATTCTTTCTTTCTTTCTTTCTTTCTTTCTTTCTTTCTTTCTTTCTTTCTTTCTTTCTTTCTTTCTTTTCAACACGTATTATCCAATATTTCTCTTTACCTTAGCATTTTACACACATTTCTCCGTTTTTTACTTCACTATTTAGTACTTTTCTTTTTTCCTCTCTTATTTGCTATTCCCTTTGCTCTACCCCTCTCTATATTACCTATTTTTTCTTTCTTCTTTTTTTTTAACTCTCTCTCTTTCTTCTGATGTCTTAAATGAAAGTTTCATAAATTAAATTAACAATGGCTTCTCTTTCCTGTTTATTTAATGACTTTGCTTAAAATAATTCGGAGTGGCCACTGTCCTTTTCCGTAATTTTATATATGATTTTTAAACAAAAAACAAAATTAATTTCCGCAATACATCTATCATGTTTCCAATTCTTTAATTCAATTTTCTATATCATTTTTTATGTAAAGTTATAACATGCATAACAGGTTTTTGAGGAAATGGAAAACCTGCTGAGAACTATTAGGAAGAGGAGCGAACGGTATCAAATTGGTCGAATAATGCTGTTTCGAACGAGCCCATTGCGTCCAGGATTACATGAACAAGTGAGAAAGCTTTAGAAAAAATTAAGAAAAAGAACACTTATACTTAACATCAGAAACATTGAGTCGAAATTTCAAGGATACATAATAAAGAAAGAAGATGACACTCACAGTACATATTGAAAGAAACTAGTGTACAGCCTACTCATCGAAATTGTTTTAATAGTTGGTAGAAAAGGGATTAGGAGAGACAGCAAAAAGAAAAAAAATTACATAATCAACTAGCATCATGGCCCGGCGTTGCCCGTGCTTGATTAAAAAATCGTACGACTCATACAACAATCGCTATCACTCGACTTAAAATATTTTCGCCTTTCCTTGCCTTTAAAGGAGTGTCCTTTGCCGTGCTGATGTTGCTACATGCCTTACTTCTTGCCTGCGAATTTTTTCTAAGCTCTATACTAAACATTAAATCTGTTACGAAAAAAGAACTAAACAAAATGAACACAAAAAGATCAGCTTTAAAAAAGGACTCATAACTGGAAAAAGCGAATGAAAAAAGAATGTTAACAACAAATACTTTTTCCCACCCAACCCAGTTCCGTGGAATAAGAATCAACGTTGAGTTTAAGCAAGCGAATGAGCCAATTGGAGTAAAGTGTCATGCAGATTTAAATTTTTCCCACTTGTGACGAATCCAGCTAGCGATTTTTTACATGCTAGCATGCTAGTTAACATTCGTGTCAGTCAGCTGTTGGCTCTCACGCTGGCTAATAGAATCTTCCTGCCTATTCGTGGCAGCCAGCTATTGGCTCTCACTCTGGCCAGTACAAAATGGCGGCAAACTACATGAAAACTGCCGTAGTAGCATGAAAAATAAATTATTTCCACTATCGATGGGAGTTGGGAAATACAAAGTCGGTCTTAGCCTTCTTGCTAACTTGGAGCATGTGCATGTAAATTTTGGTGCAAATCCATCGAAAATTGCGGCCGTGCATTCGTTTCACACACACACACACACACACACACACACACGCACACACACACACACACGCACACACACACACACACACACACACACTGCCTTTTATAGATCGAGATATTCTGATATTCCACACTACTTTACAAAAACGCTGAGGAAGGAAACCCCCATCAATACCGGAAAGAGCGATAACAGCTTCTGCACTTGAAGAACATATTTTGGTGAAAAATTGTTTAAGTGAAATATTTTATAAAATTCAACCAACATTATTACTGGCTGCTCGATTAATGATACAGAATATTTCCTTATAAGGGAACAACTAATAGAACCATTGCCATTACAGCGAAAGATCATTAAACCTTATTTTGCGGCCACTTACACTGTGAAATGGCAGTCACCATGATGTATTGATTTTTTACTTGGACTGTTTTGGTCTGTTCCAGATATGCGCAAACATCACGTATAAATACAACAAATTTTTATACAATATATATATATATATATATATATATATATATATATATATATGAAAATATAGTTTTAAGGTTTTATTTATGGGATAAAATTCAATATCAGAGTAAGCGTAGTAAATGTAGTATTTGAAATCAACATTGTTTCATGCTAAACGCAATCGTTGCGGTTTATGAGTTGCGTTTTTCTCGACTATTATATACGGATTGATGTATTGTGGGTAATTATTGAATTGTGGGTAGTCTATTCTAATGGTTATTTTTCCCAATTTTGTTTATTATTTACTTTTATTTGAATTAACACACAGTAACAGTAAAACTGCTTGTGATCGTTTATTTAGCAGTTTGACGTTATTTTTCTCTCTACAGATTTCTTGGGTTGAGTTTCGATTGCTTATTCATAATATTTTTGGTGTAAGACTTTAAGACGTTACTTTTTTTGTGAAAGACTCTCTGTTTGCTTCAGTTCAGGGTCCTTCAGTTACTACTTTATGTTTTTTTAAAAGATCGTGCCGTATATTAAATTGTTTTGTCCCAATTTTCATTTAAAGGGACATTCGTTTTTATTCTGCAGACTGGTTTAATTTGTTCTGTTTTTCGGTAAAATATATGCGAACGTATAAAATAATAGTATTGTTATCAATTTAAAACATTGTGTTGAGATAAAAATGGCATGATTTCTGGAAAGAAATGCCTCCGCATAAGAAAATAAACATGTCTCTTCATTTATGTTCATAGATTTTTCTTTTTATTTCGATTTGTTTAACAGGTTCACAACAAGCAAAACGTTGGCGGTATTGTTTAGGTTGACACAAGTCTCGGTTTGTCAATTCAAATCAACCTCCAGTCACATTGTGATTGTTCTGACGCTGGTCGTTGATCTTAGAAATCCGGAAAGTTCGTCGGGTGAGAATTAGGTTAACAGAAAAAAGAGAGTCTATTGTTTTAAAAATAAACACTAGATCAAAACAACCTTGAATTTTAACTTGGAATCATAATAATTTGTCAAAATCCATTTCTTTTTAAAAGTTCCAAATTATCATTGTTCCAGTAACTTCTTTCCCTAGCTTAGTAATCTGATATCCTTTTTACTCTTACAAAAAGACTGTATTTCGTGTTCTAAATTAACTTTCTGTAACATTTACATTTCAAAGTCTTTACAGCATACTGACATTTTATTTATTCGAAAACACCTCTCTTTCACCCGCCATCATTTGTCTTGCAGCATACCCTCCGTTATTATTATTATTATTATTATTATTATTATTATTATTATTATTATTATTATTATTTCAGAGTTGATATCGCCCCTGTCATAGATTACCATAACGTAATGGGAAAGATACTAGCGTGGTTTTCTGTTGTTTTCCCCACGATTTTGAATTATGAGTTGTCATTCCCCTAGACAATTGAAAGCTAGAAAGACTAGTCTACCCTTTTATTTAACGTATTTGTGCCTTTCCTGAGAGCCATAGGGCAAAGATATTGCAAATATTTGGAATAAAAAAAGGAATTAATATATGTCCCTCAAGAGTTTAAGGGAAATTTAAGACTTACCATGTGTTTTATTAATAAGGGCAGAGTACTGGGTACCATGCTAATTTCTCAAGTCATTGCTGGGAGTTTCATGAATAAGCATTTAGTCTCACACTTACAACTACCTGATGATACAGTGAATCATGTTTCACTGCAGTTATTTTGTTCTTACTATTATTAATGAACGGAAATGTTTTTGAATTCAATGCACTTGTTAGTAACCAGCATTAACTTACTTGGAGCTACCTTGGCTAAAGTTATTTCTCATTCCATAACAAATGCACTTTTTCATTGTCTGTTATCATTTCCAATTTAGCAGAAGTTGAAGCTACTAGTAGACGACATGTATTTCATTCCACTGTCGACGTGTATTGGCCAACAGCTTATCAAATTTACGACGTGCCATTTACATTGTGTATTGGTTACTATATAACGTTATGGTGTCTTCGTCTTATTTTTCTCAGGAACATACACCTTTTCCATAAAAATGACATTTAACTGCGAATGGGGATGCTGAATGGAAAAAGTCACCATTAAAACGACACAGTTTATTTGGCTTACATAAGAGTTATTTTAATGATTATACAAAGTTTTTACTAAGTTAAACTTTCGTTAACTCCATATGTAAACGAAAGGAAATGGTGAACTCAAACGATTTTCACTTATAAAAATTTTCTTCATTAAAAAGTTAATGGAAAAATACGGATAAAACAGCCGACGAAACAGCTCTCTTCTAATCGTCTGAGATAAACCGTTTTACCTTCCATCAGAATGGCTGATGCTAACCTCCAGGGGAGTGACTCATTGCGGCTTTTCGAACTAACGTTTTGCGCTAATATTAAGTGGAAAGATTATATTAAATCAGTTGCTAGGAAAGTGGGTCCACTGTGTCGTGCTAGGTATTTTTTCTCGCAAGAATTTCGCTTACGTATTTATAAGTCTACCGTTCGTCTTTGCCTTAAATATTGCTGCCACATTTGGGTTGCTATATATTTGGAGATTCTTGATAAAATCCCAAGAAGAATCTGTGATGTGAGATCTGGGCTTCAGTCACTTACCCACCGTCGTAATGTAGCTTCCCTGTCATTTTTCTATCAATATTTTCATGGTAATTTTTCTGATGACATTTTACCTATGGTACCTCAACTTGATGAATTTAAGAACAATAATATATCCATTATTTAATCTAATTTGCCTGGATATATTTAAACCTGTTTCACACACTGTCACTGTTCTTTAAATGATCGACTTGATGAAAAATTCCTTC